GAGAGAGAGAGAGTGAGTGAGTGAGTGAGTGAGTGTGTGTGAGAGAGAGAGAGAGTGTGTGTGTGTGTGTGTGATGTAAATGATGTTTAGATTGAAGGGAAAGTAATTTCTGAGTGGCCCCCGAAGTCTCTCCCACCATCTAATTTTCATGGGACGAGTGTCAAGTATCGCGATAGTGTTTGTAGAGAGCCTCTTCATGTCTTGATTTCATCTTTATCCTCTTCAGCAGCAGCAGCAGGCGCTTCTGGACGCACTGCAGAGGGCGATGAAGGTTTGTGTGTCTGTCCCAAGTGTTGACAACCCCTCCTCCCCCGATGAAAAACTAAATCATCATTACTTAACCTCACACTTTTTTTCTGATGTCGTTTGCGTGGACCGCTGATTGATCTTTTGCTCTCTGGTTCTCTAAAGTGGCTGGATGAGTGCGCAAAGTAAGAGTGGAAGTTTGGAGGAGGCGCCATCTTAGCTCCAGCGGCAGCGGCAGCGGCGTCCTCACTCACTCATAGTGCGCCGCTCGCACCAGCCAAAGAAGGTAAAGTCTGCTTGTTTTATTCCCATATGTTTCTCGCTTCGGATAGTAGAAGGGCTTTGCTGGAAGGTTCCGCCAGCGGAGTTAGAAGCAGGTTCGAAGCACTCGACCCACTTGGGTTGCGAGTTACAGTATGAGGTTAGCAGGCTGCGGTCGGATTAGCTGGACGGCATTCTAGCTAATCTGCTAATTTAGCTCGGTATCGGCTCACAGGCATGTTAGCATTTTAGCTTTTAGCGTGTTGGTTTCTTGGCTAGTTAGCCGCCTAGCTTGTGCTGTCAAAACTAATTGTAAAAGTAGCATCTAACTGGCTAACGTGCTAGCGGCTGGTTAGCATGGAAACCTCATTCGGTTGAGACTAGCGTTTTAGCATTTTAGCTCTGGGCTAATTAGCATCATTAGCGCGTACTGTACTACAGTGCAACTGCTCAGTATGAGCTCCAGCAAGTCCAAATAAGAGGTAAAGAAAACGTCAACTGGTAATTAGCTGTTTTAGAGCATGCATGTGATACTTGGCGACTTGATATCGCGTTTGAAGATTGCGCTGGAAACTGGTCATTTTGACGTAAGGTTTGAGGTTTCGGTGAGCAGGAGTCAAGACTTGGTGACTCTGGTTCATGATGGCAAACAGGGTCGCTCCTGGAGCAAAATGGATTCGTTTTATGAACTTTTCTCGCTAATCCACTTGTTAACTGTGGTTGGACGCTAGAGTTTTATTGCATGCACGTGTGTGTGTGTTAAAGCACGTTGAGTCTATCAAACACACACAGAGTCACTGAGGTGTTATTCTTCTAACAGTTTGGGCTTGGTCTTGCTGTAATGGGTGTAAATGTGGCATTGTGCCCGTGTTAAGGTGTCGTCCACTTCCACCCATGGCATGTAGGATATTACTGGAGTTGCTGGCCAGTTGTCAACTTGTGTCAGTCCACACAACTGACCTTTCATCCCGTCCCCGAGCATTACATCCTAACACTAATGTGTTTGTCTGTCAGCATGCCTAAAAAGGAGATAATTTTGCTGTACTCTTTCTGTGCTGTTGCTTCTGCATGTGTTGTTTTCATTGCAAAGAGACTGAGGATAAGTGATATTCCCCCAGGGAGATGTGTGGGTAAAGAGCTGTTTAACTGCAAGAAGAGAGATTGCAAACAAGCACTGTGGTGAAAATCAGATTATTACACAATAGTTTACACAATAGGCTAATATTTATAGATTCATTTTTTTATTGACATATATTTAACTTATTATATGTGTCTATAATAATAAATAAAACATACAAATACGTCAATTATACTCACCCACACACAGCATAGTGAAAGTTATGGCATAAAACCCAAAGTAGGTGCTTTTGATTGACAGCATAAGTATGTGTCAGAAACAGGTGGACACTGTGCCTGTGAGGAGCACAGAGCTAAAATGACATCCCTGCGTTGTAAGGGTTCACCCGGGTGCGTGTGCAGGGGCCTGAGAGCAGGAGACCTGTGCAAAATGTCAAGAAAATGATGCCTCTCCACCAGAGAGTGTATAAAGGACAAAGAGCAAGCGGGAGAATGGAGTATTAACTGTCCTAGTGCTGTCCTTTACCCGGTTTTGTGTTTGAATTGCGTTGTCTTTATTTTCGGTCTCAGATGTGGAAATGTAATTTATCAAGCCTGGGTGATACTATTAAGCCGCATCTGTTTACTGTAGCTGTATCTCCCAGATGTGTTGTTTTTGAAGTATAAATGGATTATTTAGCACTCTTGAAACACATACACAGAGTCTGAGGCTGCTCAAAATAGCCTCACCTTCTCTCGTCGGCCTCCATTATGAACTCTAACGATAAAGCTCCCCTGCGGTCCTGTCTGTGTCCTGGCCTGATAACACCACTGATCTTTGCACTGCCATTTTGTGTCAGTGGGAGTGTGCTGGGCATCCATGTTGGCTCTTGGTCCTCCAGAGAGAGAGGGATAAGCCTGGTTAAAAGACTGCAGCCAGACACTACACTGCCAGAGAGTTTCTTACGGCAGTGTCTGTCTGCTACAGGGAACTGCTCGCTGCTGTTGTTTCAGTCCTGTTCACAGCATGACGCTACACAATATGTGTTTTGCTGTAACACACAATTCACAGCTGAAATGCAGATCAGGGGTGCGTTTCCCAAAAGCATCGTTAGCTAACTATGGTGGTTCGTTCCATTGAACTCTATTGGTAACGACGGAACTTGCGACCATAGTTGCTTTTGGGCAATGCACCCCTGGTTGATAGTGATAGTCACTTTTATTTATAATGCTTCAAAGCAGTTTTACAGTAATGAACAGGAAAAAAAACTCCGTCAGTGTTACTAAATTCTTCCTTTAGGAATCAATAAATTCAGTTAGAATTATAACTGAACTGTTTCAACAGTAAACAACTCTATGGAAGACTGATTCATCTCAATTCAGTTTATCTTTGTTCTTATTGAGTCGTTTCCAGTACAGTTAAATCGGTAGACCAATAATGTTGTCCAAATACTTTTAGGGGCTAGACATCTCCAGACTTTCCAAGCTGTAGGTGTGTCTAAAGGAAATTTCTGTTGATCCTAATTATGTTGTTACTGTAAACGTTGACTCCTGTTGACATTTTGTTGCTAAAAATAATAGTAAAATTTGCCAGAAAAAGCTAATTATTTAGCTAGTTTATGAGCCGAAACTTCCCATTATTCTCATTTTCTCAAAAGCATAATTGAGCTTAATTAAATATTTAATAATATAACAATAATATTAGAGGTGCTCCGATTGATGGGGTACCGATCACTATCGGCCTATAATCGCTTTGGGATGTTTGATCGGCGGTCTCTTAAAAAGGCCGATCTCAAAAAACGATCTCAAGCTGATGACGCTGCCGTCAGAGGTTTGGCATGACATGCAGCGGCACCGTCTCAGTCTCTGTCCGGCGCGGGTTAAATAATTATAATGCTGAAGGTGAGGTACAATTGATATTTCTTCATTAAATAACTTGTAAAGTAATTTGAAAACTTTCTGTAAGACATAATTTCACAAACAGCGTGAGTGAATCTTTATTCGGGCATTACAAGGTTTACCAAGCCACATTGCTTCAATCCCAGTATACATTTACCGGGCTATTATCAAAAGTCTTTCTATAAAAATACAACAAAACATTTTCTTACGACCTTACGTAAATGTAGGGCTGGGCGAT